ATGAGGAAGCCTCCGGCTGTGGGCATCCATTAGTGCCTTCAGGTGGCACCTTTGAGAGAGGAATCTGAGAAGCCAATGCACCCCTCCCTGACATTTTACAACTAGGAAAATTGAGTATCCAAGGGGAAGGGATTTTCTTGAGGCTACAGAATGGGCCAGTGGCAAAGCTGGGATTTGAGCCCTGTGGATGTTTTGGCCTGATGCTACATGTCAGAGCACTGCACCACCTAGCAGCGGCTCAATACGTGGGTGACCTCTCTCTGGAGGAGGGAGCCCCAGAAAGGGAAAGAGCTGGTTTTGGCCTCGTCTTTCGGGCAGCTAGTTCAGGTTCAGCCATCTTCTCAGGGTCAAACATTCTGGTCTCAACTCACCTACCCCATGGAGCCAGGCTGATAGTAAAGAAGGCTGAGTGTAATGCAGCGAGGAGGTGGAGACTGTGCTGGACATGTGCGAGTAGAGCTGTGTCTGGGAAAGTGATTGAAACTCAGCCCCCGTGCTGACCCCAGTGGATACGGCCTTATTGCTTTCTAAAGGAGGCAGAGGGTTCAGAGAGAAGACTCATAACCTCCTCATGTCATTCTGCACCACAGGAGGGTTTCCATGGCTGCCAAGGTGATGCGAACAGGTGGTCCGGGTGTGAGGAGCCCAGGCAAGAGCCCTTCCCTCCTGGAATGAAGGATGAAACTGAGGAGGCCTCAGGGTGGCTGAGGGCGCCAGGTCTTACCTTTGACCAGGGTGTGCTTGTCCGTGGGGGAGGAGCGAGCCAGCACTCGCAGCTTTGGCCAGATCTTGTCGATTCTCTCCTGCTCAATCTGGAGAGGGATGGGGTGGGGGGAGGGGGCGAGGGCGGGCAGGTGCATTGGTGGGGTTGAAACTAAGCCCCAAGAGGGAAGGGAAGTTGCCAGAGTTCTGGGCTCTGGTAGCATGCTGGTTGGCTTCTGTGCCTTCCAGGCCTCCCAGCTCCTCCCTCCCAACTCCCTTTGCGCTGGGCCACCTACCTCTCCCTTCTCATTGCGGATCCTGCGGTTGAACTCTTTGCCCTCAAGACACAGGAAGTCCTCCCCAGGGTGGATGATGCCACACTTGATGGCAATGGCCCGGGCTGTGTTGATGTTGTCACCTGTGACCATGCGGACTGTGATGCCTGCCCGCTGGCACTTACGAATGGCTTCTGGGACCTGCACAAGAGGGTAGGAGCCGTGAGGGGTGGGGGATTCACTGTAATGGGCCTGGAAGACCATTAGATAGTGATGGCAGGAGTGCCAGGGGCCACCTACTGCTTCTCTGTGTTCATGGGAGGCAAAACGAAAGAATCAAAACATCCCTAATTAGGCTCTGATGTGGTCTCAGCATTCTCCAGACACAGAGATGCAGACATTGGGCCATCCAGGCATGGAAGCATTCACTTTCCTGATTTGGGAAAAACCATCAAGAAAGCCCTAAATGAACACCTCCTTCAGACCCTGGCTTCAGCAAGAGGACACAACACTCCTCTACCAGGGCTGACTCCTCCAGAGCTCACTCCTCCACCAGGACTGACTCTTCCACCAGGGCTGACTCCTTCACTTGAGCTCACTCTTCCACCTGAGTTCACACCTCCACCAGAGCTCATCCCTCTACCAGGGCTCACTCCTCCACCAGGACTGATATCTTCACTAGGGCCAAATTCTCCACTAGGGTCGACTTCTCCACCAAGGCCAACTCCTCCACCAGGGCCCACTCCTCCACCAGGGCTCACTCCTCCTCCAGTGGTCACTCCTCCACCAGGGCTCACTCCTCCTCCAGTGGTCACTCCTCCACCAGGGCTCACTGCTCCACCAGGGCTCACTGCTCCACCAGGGCTGATTCCTCTACTAGAGTGCACTCCTATACCAGGGCCCACTCCTCCACCAGAGTACACTCCTCCATGAGGACCGACTCCTCCACCAGGGCTCATTTCACCAGGGCCTACTCCTCTACCAGGGCTGACTCCTCCATCAGAGTGCATTCCTCCACCAGAACTCAATCCTCTACCAAGCCTGAATCCCTTCCACCAGAGCTCACTCCTCCACCAGGGCCAACTTCCCCACCAGAGCTCACTCCTCCACCAGAATTCACTCCTCCACCAGAGCTCACTCCCCCAACAGGGTGACTCTTCCACCAGAGCTCACTCCTTCACCAGGATCAACTCCTCCACCAGAGCTTGCTCCTCCACTAGGGATCCACTTGATATTATGTGCCATTGAGTTGGAATCATGCCATAGCTGACCTTCCAGTGGGTTTTCCTCCACCACAGTGGGTTTTCAGAGGATATATGTTGCATATGAGGAGCTTGTTTATCATTCTCTCACAGAGCAAATGGTGTATTTGAACTACATTTTGAGTTGGCAGCATTTCTTTACCATTAGGCCATGAGAGCTCCCTTACTCCTCATAAGGGCTCTTGAACTGTATGTGCTCTGTCCACAGCTATTATCTGCAAACTTGATGACAGAGAAATTTGTGTATTTCCACGTTTTTTAGAATATTGCATTTTGGGTGGTTCTTCTACTGAGTGTGACATGACATTGTTTCATTATATTGAATCACTGTTTCTGGTGAAACAGAACATTTCACTGCAAGGACAAAGACTGTGTTCTCTCAGCTGTGATGACAGAATGATGTCTGGGCCAATCAGGCCACAGTAAGTTCAACGGGTCAGTCAGCAAGCCTCTGTCCTTTAGCACCTGCTGCCATTCACTCAGCAGTTAACCAGGAATGGTTGAGTAGACCCTGGTCCTGTGTATCTCAGAGGAGAGTCTCACTCATAGAGTTTCAGTGGTGACTTTCCAGAGATAGATTACTGAGGCTTTCTTCTCAGGTGCCTTATGCTGACTTGAACCTTTTCTCTTTCATTTACAGCACAGCATGTTAATTAGCACCACCCTGGGACCACATCCAGCAATTGTTGTCTTTGCTAGATGCCTTCAGGTCAATTAAAACTCATAGAGATCCTATGAACAACATATGGGAAGCTGTGAAACTATTCCTATCTGCATCATCCTCATTAGATCCTGCTCAAGCCCATTATGAATGCAGTCACTGTGTCACTCCAGCTCGTTGAGGGTCTTCTTTTTGTCTTTGATAACCCTCTAACTTTTCCAGCATGTGTCTCTCTTCAAGGTTCCTCCTGAAAACTTGCCCAAAGTGAGACTAAGTTTCACCATCCTTGCCTCTAAGAGCACTCTGGTTTCAAGACAGGTTTGTTTGTTCTTTTGGAAGTCTATGTATTATTTAGTACTCTTCTCCAACAGCTTGAATCAAAGGCAATCTTCTGGAATCTTCTGGAATTCCCTTTCATTTTCTTACTGTTAGATGTGTAGGAAACAACTGAAAAGATAATTGCTTTTCATTGCACTTTGACAGCAAGTTCCGCCAATGCAACTTTTTTTTTTTTTAATTTCGTCATTGTTTTTACTCATGGTGTTGATTGTGGATCCAAAGAAAAGGAAGTCATTGAAAACTTTAGTCTTTTCTCCATCTATCATGAAATGACATTTTTTTTGTTTTCTTGATGTTGAGATATAACAATTCATATTGAAGTTGGTAGTCGTTGATCTTCTGCTGTCTTTTTCATGTTCTGCAAACAAGGTTTTGTCATCTGCATGATGCAAGATGATGCCACATTTCAGTGTTGCACTTATTTTCCTGAAATAATAATACTTATTTCCTGAAATAATTGATGTAATACCTCACTAGGTATTACATCAATTCTTGGGGCCTTATTTTTTGCCAATGCCTTCAGGGAAGCTTGAATTTCTTTCTTCCTTTACTACTGTTGGTTCTGGACCATGTGCTACTTTTGGAAATAGTTCAGTGTTGACCAATTCTTTTTGGTAAAATGACTTGCTATATCCTTTCCATCGTATCCCACTCTTCTCCCTCCCCCGTGTTTTATTTAAGGGCTTATACAAAATATTTGAGATAAATGAGTTTTAAGCCTCATCTTCTTTCTCTTCATCCTGGTTAATTTGGAAGTAACATAATAACTTTGTTGTTAGCAGTAATGCACAACCAATCATGTAGATTCTTCTTCAAATATTTTCTGGTGACACATTTCAAATATCCTTTGGAAAAAGGCACCTTGGAGGATACCGTTATCTTGTTTTTGCTTCTTTCCGTGGTGACAATTCCTCCACCAAGTTTACCAGTTTTCTCCACAACAAGATAAAGGTAAATAATCCAATAGAAAAATGGGCACAGGATATGACAGGCACTTCACCGAAGACGACATTCAGATGGCTAACAAGCACATGAAGAAAGGCTTAAAATCCCTAGCCCTAAGAGAGATGCAAATTAAAACAACTATGAGATATCATCTCACCCCAGTCAAAATAGCAAAATTTAACAGAACAGCAAGCAATAAATGCTGGCGAGGTTGTGGAGAAACTGGAGCCCTTATTCACTGTTGGTGGGAGTGTAAAATGGTGGAAAGCGGTACGGCACTTTCTCAAAAAGTTGCAAATAGAGATACCATTTGACCCCGCAATACCACTACTGGGAATATACCCTGAAGAGACCATAACTGACACCCAAGCAGATATATG